TCGGGAGTGGATCCCGTCGGGAGTGGAGGATCCCGTCGGGAGTGGATCCCGTCGGGGGTGGATCCCGTCGGGAGTGGATCCCGTCGGGGGTGGATCCCGTCGGGGGTGGATCCCGTCGGGAGTGGAATCAAACACGGGGGTGGATCCCGACGGTGGTGGTGTTTAGTTTAGGAACCGCGGGTGTAGGTTACTCACCATTGGATTCTCTGTGTCTTCGAGGGGTAAAATAAAGAAGTGCTCATCTGCGCTGGGTCCCGGTGTGGCCATGAAGAGTTCAAAGTCGCTCGCGGTCCTCGCCATCGTAGCAAGCTGGCCGATCTCGTCGTCATCTGTTGGGGGACTAACCTGAGTTCCTGCAGGGACTTTGCGAGTCCCTCGGATTTCGGACAGGAACTCGCTCCGTTCGGGGCCTGGTCGCTTAGAATTAGTCAGCCGTCGGATGCCGGCACCTCCCCAGGCCAACGGCTTCTGTACCGCTTCCGGCTTCGGCTCCAATTCCTCTTCCGCCTCTTCGCTCCCAGCCGCCTGTTCGCTTTGCGTCTCCGCCCGGCCACTAGCTTCCGACGAACGGACTTCCGACGTCTCGACCCGGCGCGACCGCTCGCCGTCGGACCCTTTGCGATGGGAACGTTTGCCGTCAGACAGCTCTTCTGAAAGTTTGTCTCCAGACAAAAAGATGGAAGAAGCGGGGCCCGTGGAGTGTGCATCGCTAACTGTCCTCAACTCGGTGCTACTCCGTAGCTCGTCCGCGTCGGCCACCTCCTCCCTAGACACGGGTTCTTGAAAGACGTCTTCGGTCCCCGACGGGTGAGAGACTGCGTCATCCGCCGTGGCCGTCTCGCTACTCACGGGCTCTGTGACCACCTGGGAACGATTTACTTTGGACTTTATCAGGACTTGCGCATATGACCGCCTGACGGCTGGCCGAATCACTTCGGGCTTCACTCGAGGATTGCTTTCGTCAGTTTGTTCGCTCTGCTCTATGACGTGATGCTCTGTAACCAGAATGCGTTCCGCTTTCTCAACTCCCTTGTCTTCATTAGCCTCATCATCAGCAGCCGTATTCTTCTCAGACACATCTAACGGCAGGTTGCCAGATGTCTGCTCGCTCGACTCGGGCGCTCCTGATGGGAGCTCCTCAGCCGACCGTAGTCCGCTTGAAGGCAGTGACGAAAATTCGCTCGCCTGGCTCAGGACTGACAGCTGACTCTCAGTTGTCGGTCGACTGTCAGCTGCGGGCTCCTTCGTTGTTTGAAGTTCGTTAGATAGAGCGTTTGACGGCGATGCATGATTACGCCGTCGTGGCTTCTTCGGTTTCTTTTTTCGTTTGTGCAATTCGGATTCTGGTAGTCCGGGTATCATTCTGAGGTTAATTTTTTTTTGGATACCATGGGCGATTTGGCGGACCAACAGAAGAAGCATCCTTTGAATACGGAGTAAGGCAACATGCAACTGACGTGGGCGTGTTGGTAAAGGTGGGGGCATTGCTGCCGTCAGGGGCATTGCTGCCGTCAGGGGCATTGCTGCCGTCAGGGGCATTGCTGCCAGATTCGGGGGGTTCTTGCTAGAATGCGACTGATTTGGAAGCGACCTGGGGCGTTAGTAATGGCTACGGTTACGGCATTAGTAACGGGCTCCAGATTTGGGTCTGGATGAGTAGCGGTTACATGGCGCATTTTAGGTGGTGCTTCTGGTTGAGGAACCCGAGTGGTCAGCAGCAGAGTGGCTGGTCTGAGCAGCAGACTTTGGGTCACTCATTCAATTCGGTGGAGGACTTTTGGTGTTTAGTAAACAACATTACGAACCCATTTGATACGTCTAATGGATCAAACGCCAATATTGATTACTCGATTTTCCGGAAAGATGTGAAGCCAGACTATGACGGAGACGAGTTCAAGAATGGTGGTCGTATTATTCTGAAATTAAACGTTAAATCAAATACACCTGTCAAACTTTATGATGGATGGATCCACGTCTTACTAGCTCTCATCGGTGAGAGTTATGACGAAATTGGCTCTCAGTGTTGTGTCGGACTCCGACTTGTTATAAAAAGGAGTAATGTCAAATTCGAGATTTGGACCGTTGATAAGGAAACAACCAAAATAAAGACTCTTACTGAAGCATTCATCAAACTCATTACTCCTATTATCCAACTCAACAAACCACAAGCCGAATTCGAGTCATTTGATAAATCTGTTACCTTTAAGGTCGCCGTCGAAGACTCTAATTAGTGTGTGGTGATACCACACACACGATTTCTTTTAAGTGCAATAAGAAACTAAATGATGATAAAACGCAAAAGGTCCACCTGCGAACAACCCCCATTTGCAACACAGCCGGACAAACTTCGGTGATGCTTTAATGGGACAAACTTCGGTGCTGGTCCGTACACACGATTATCTGTTGAGCGCCACCGTCGGTCATCGCCAGTAATCCTCCACAATGCCCGCGAGATGAGTGCCCCCTTCGGTGTCGATGACGCGGGCAGCCTGTATAGAAGTTCTCCACCGGTGCAAATTGGGTCTCCAGAACATGTCTATCGGTGTGGCTTTCCTCGTTTTAGCTTCTGCCTCAGAAATGCTGACGACCTCGCCACGAACATGAGTACCACTATGGTGAGTATCAGTATGGTCAGTATCAGTACGGTGAGTATCAGTATGGTGAGTATCAGTATGGTCAGTGTCAGTATGCTTAGTATCGCTATGATGACGCTCCCGGTTTCGGCGTTCCCTTTTCCCAATTTCTGGACCGTCCATTTGACCCATCAGTGTCAAAATATGAGTCTCAAGACTTTTTTGTTTGCCGCCTGTTGTCTCTTTCCAGGACTCTCCGCCATGTGGATCTCTATCTTTCTTTTCCTTGGAGTATGAAAGAATGTTCTTTTGCTGTGCCACCTTCTGAGCCTCGGCTACGTCAGCATGCTCGGGTATCGAACCATGCCTGGCAGTCTGACGAATTAAGTTGTACGCTGCTAGCAACTCGTCTTCCGGAACTCTATTTGCTAAGTGACGTATCAAGGCAGCAATCTCTCCATCTCCGCGGACCCCTGTGTGAGACACATCATGGTCAGGTCCCAGCTTCTCTACCTGCCGCTGAGCCGCTGCTCTTAAGATGACAAAGTCCTCTGTACTTAAATACGTCTTGCCCAGATGAATACCTGGAGATTGTCGTTTAGTATCAGTATCAGAGAGCTGACTATCAGAGAGCTGACTATCAGAGAGCTGACTATCAGAGAGCTGACTATCAGAGAGCTGACTATCAGAGAGCTGACTATCAGAGCGCTGACCATCAGAGCGCTGACTATCAGAGAGCTGACTATCAGAGCGCCGACTGCTCGAAAGTGTTCTCAATTGTGATGCTTGTAGCCCAGGAATATTTCCAAGAGGATTACCGTCCTGGAGAGGGTCGAGATCTCGACGGCGTTCGGAAATGCGGTCATAGGCTGCATTGCCGTAATTGTACTCGAATGCCTCTCCCTGATTGGCGAGTAGTTGAGCGGGCACGGCAGCCCTGTTTATGGTTATAAGGAGTCTGTCGGCGACGGTATTCACCAGGAATTCCGATTGGAAGTCTCTTTTTGTTCTGACCCAGTGAATGTAGTCCTTGGGGTTGAAGAGTGCTCTAAAGATGCCGTACTCGGGGCTCTCTTTATATAGTTGAAGTTTGAAGCGAGCGTCGCGAGTGGAATTGTCATAAAATTCGTGGAACGTCGCTCGGAATATCATCATGGGATACATGGTCGAGATGAGCGGGTACCATGTGTCCGGGCTTTTGTTAATGTAAGCCTGGAGAGAGTCGTATAGTTCCTCTCCCGTGTTTCCCCAAGCCTTCTTCAAATCAAAGCTCGAGGGGGATTGCTCGGCCTTGGCGATCTTCATGTCGCACACACACAAACGATTCTCGAGGTCTGGGTAGCAAGCGGGGTCCTCACAAAAGTTTTCGGTGTACGCATCAAGGAACCCTACGCACTTGGGAAGGTTGTGCTTCCGAATCACGAGGTCGTCGGCGCCGCTGGACCGCTCTTTGCCATCTGGACCGAGTCCTTGCCGCGGTCCCCCCGGTCCCACCAGACCTCTATTTCTCGGAAGACCCCGAAAACCCGCGTCCCAAGCTTCATCCTGGCCGGGAAACCGTTCTCCCGGTAACTTGATGACCGACATTGGATCGAAGACAAACTCCGGAGGACACTCGATGATCGGACTGCCGTAGTCCTTCGGCTTACACGACTGGTCCGTGCCCATGCGGAAACTCTCCGGACACCTTTGTCTCGGCAGCCGCATCTCGTACTCTGTGCAGATCGGCATCATCAAACCCTCATGCACCCACGACAACCACAAACGGGATGCCACATCCACCTCGCGCGGCTTCGGACTCATTAACCGGATCCACGTATCTATCCCTAGGTCGTCCATGTCTAAATGCGTCCAGTGCAACTCCTTCCACATGTCCACGATCAACCGGTTCGTATACCTAGCCGCCGCCACATAGTCACTAGGGTCAGGCAATTCGTCTACCGGGCCGGGTCGCTCCATAGTGTAGTTGTCAAGCCGGACTCGCGCAGACGGGGGCTTCGCTTGTCCCGCCTGCTCTCTCGGCCGAGGCCGGAAGTAAACCCGGTCACCTCGCCCACCTGGGCCGTTGAACGCCTCGTAACCGCCGACCAGACTGTTTGTTAGGTTTACTCGCAAAACTTCCGGCCCGTTCTCCTTTGCTAGGCTCAGGGCGATAGTCAACTCGGTACGTAACTTCTGCTGTGTGTCGGGGTCCACGTACATGATCTGAGTCTCGACATCTATAGTGTCCGCTCCGTCCCCCTCCCGGGAGCCACCCTCACGGACGTCAACGTTCACTGTGGTCCCCCAATCTTCGCCGCCAATTCCGGTGTCGAGATCTCCATCAATGAGGTTGCGGTACACGGCCTTGAGGGACCGAATCATGCTCTGGGCAACTGTGTGGTTGAACTTAGACAACTTCGCATCCAGCTCCCGCTTGGCCACGTCCTCAATGATGTCGCGGTCGACCTCGTCGTCAATAGACCACAGCCCGACGCTCTCGCCTTCGTACTGCACCTCCGGCAGCCCGTCGCCATAGAGTCTCGCCTGGGTCTGCTTCAAAACGGAGTTGGGCAAAGACGACCCCGGGCGCCGGAGTTCGCCAGAAGCAAGGCGTCTCCGGCGGGCAGAAGACCTATCCCAGTGGTCGTCCTCGTCGTCATGGTCCCAGTTGTCAAACAGGCGGCGAGTGGACCCTGGTCGTTCTCCGATGGAGGGGTTAAGGAGCGGAGACATGGAGCCTAGGGGTCCGTTGGCGGATTCATCATCTTCGTCGAGGTAGCCTTTGGCCATTTGGCCGAGGGAGTGGGGTGCGTCTTTCTCTTCGGTTGGCCGTTTGGAAACCGTGGAGTTCCGGGTAGGTCGCCATCGCGCCTCATCCATCTCAGTCGTTGGTCGGTCCCGGCTTTGGCGCAGAGCTTGGACGGTTTGCTGGTAGAGCTCGACGAACTTGGAGCCCCCTGCCCAAATAATACCTGGCGGTCGCTCCATCCAATAGTAGTCGCGGATCGGCACGAGAGGGCGGACAAACGCACGTCCCCTAAAGGTGGAGCACACGGGTCTCCAGGGGTACTTTTGCGGGTGCACACACGTGTACTTCGGGTCGCCAAGTCCTGTTTGAAAAGTCACTATTGGCCAGTTGCCTCGAGCAACCCACTCTTCAAAAGGCACAGAATCCTTAGGACATTCGTAGTGACCAATTCGGAAATCATACACACTGCAAACCACCTCGGGAATCGCCAACCGGGTTCGGTTCCTTTCGTAGAAGACTTCCATCCAGGGACCCGCGAATCGCTGCTTGCTACCGTTGTGGTCTATGGGGGCGGTGGTGGGGAAATGGTTCGGGGCATTTGGACAATGCGGCGTGTCATTGATCCATTCCCCTTTATACTCGAATTTTCGCTCGCAAGTTCCTTCCTTCTCAGGGGTATCATGCGCAGTATAGTCTTTCGGACACTTTAAGACCATAGCAACATGTTCTGCGCCTATGCAAGCATAACCCTCCTTCTTCTCACCAGGCAAACACCCGATTTCCGCCGGACCTATTTGGCGCTTCTCACAACGGTCGTCCACCAGACGATACGGTGGGTCACAACTCAACTCGGGAGCTAGCCTTCCGTGGTTCTTACACATCTTGCTGTCCTTGTACCCAATCAGGTAACCGTGGACGCACTGCAGTACAGCCGGCACACGATGCAGAACTCGGCATCTCTTTACCTGATCGTCCCAAATCGCGTCCGCCGCAGCACAGCGACCTTTTAATGATTCCGTCCTATTTGGAATGGACGCACAATCCCAAAGCGATATTGGATGCGTGGCCTGAGGGCATTTCACAAGGGACTCTATACGAGAATTATATCGCTGGCAATAACGCTGAGTCAACTACCTAGAGGCAAATACGCTGTCTGATTGAATGTGGTAATTCCCGGACGTGTATGTATCGGTCTATTGTGATACTGGCCACAAATGGTCATGAGCAAGCACATTAATTTCGCCATAGCACACACGTGTGTTATCATTTGAAATGCGCCATTAGCGATCCTGATTCTTTTGAATTGACTAAAACACCCTACACGCGAAACGCTGGATGGATGATTTTAGGGGGGCGTAATTCGGGAAATAGAAAGGGAAGAATCTTTCTGTCAGTGCTGCTCTAGTCAGGAGCCGCGGAGAATGATGAAGAGAAGGCCTAGGAAAGGAAGTGCTGGATTGCCGCGAATTATTCGTATAAGAGGAAATCATTATTTTGGATCAACTACATGTGATAGTTCGTACAATGACTCTAACGCCATATTCACGGCGCGTTATACGGTCTTGAATTTTGTGCCTAAGAATCTATACGAACAACTAACAACGATAACCAATGCATATTTTCTATTCGTAATGATACTCCAATGTATTCGTCCCATTTCTGTAACCGAAGGTGTTCCGACGATTGCCGTGCCACTGGGGTTTGTTTTGGCGGTTAATGCTGTGAAGGACGCGATTGAGGATCTTAAGAGGCATCAGTCAGATCATATGGAGAACAAGCAGCTGTCGACGATAATCAAGACAAGACTGGCGGACGATTCAAAACTTCCAAAACGAAAGCGAGGATCTGGTCGGGCAGCTGCGGGGGATACTACCATGGGTGAGCGGTGGATGGGTGAGAGCACAATGGGGGAGCGGACAGCGGAAAATATGTCGGGATTCCGTCAGTTGGAGCTCGTATTGAGAGAGAGCGCGCCGCAGGAGCAAAAGGTCTGTGGAGAGGAAAAGAACACAAGACGTAAGAACCAAGGTTTGCTATGGTCTCACGCAATGAATGAACCTCCTCTGGACACGACCCTGTGGCGAGGAAGCCTGAATGGTGGGACCGGGCTTAATACCGGAAGCGCTGGGACAGTTCCGGAAGGAGTGGACATGGCGGAGGCTTTTCCGTATGTAGCTGGGCCATTGGCAGGTACTGGACCTTTGACTGGCGCCCATGCCGGGATCCTACATCCGGGATCGGGATTCAGAGATGCGAGTACACCGCCTTCAGCGCTGCCCACGACGCCACTTACTACTTCCAATCATGTTACGACGTCCAACCAGGCCGTGCTACAAGACTGGAAAGGCAAGCTGTATTCGGTCCAATGGAGGAACATCCAAGTCGGTGACCTGGTGGTGGTCTTCCAGGGTGATGTTTCGCCTGTAGATGGACTCATAGTCGCAAGCAGCGACAAACGAGAGACGGTCTTCATCGAAACTTCCAGCTTAGACGGAGAGACCACCCTGAAGATCAAAAAACCAGTGCTGGTCCTGAATCGACTTGTGCAGGCAGATGGGCGGCGGGCTACCGCAGGCTACGACCTTCTTTCTGCCGGGCATGGGTCAGGAGCGGGCTACGCATCTGAAACAGGAAGCTTGGCACAAGAAAGTTTGGCACAAGAAAGTTTGGCGCAAGGAAGCTTGGCGCAAGGAAGCTTGGCACAAGGAAGCGTGTTGCGTGGGGGGGCGGAGGAGAACATCGAAGGGGTGTTCCTGAGATGTGCGTCATTGTCGTTGTCGGTTGAAGTCGGTGCTCCCTCTCCGGCGTTGAACGAGTTTAGTGCTACATGTCATCTGGGTCGTGGCATATTTGATCTGGCCAGATGGGAGAGTGTTTGTGGTCGAACGGATGTGCACACGGTGATGGCATCTCCTGAGAACTTATTGTTGAGAGGCTGTCGTGTGTGCCACACGAATTGGGTAGTTATATTAGTTGCGTACGTGGGTTCGGAGACGAAGATACGGTTGAACTCAGTAGCAACAAAAAAGAAGACATCTAAGCTAGAGAAGAAAACACACAGACTAGTATTGCTCATGTTCGGTGCAATGGTTACCCTTTGCGTCATTGCTAGCGGACTCACTGTGTGGATGAAGAACTCCCCGACATATGCTCCCTATCGCTACACTGGTTTCCAAATCAATAGTCGCCCAGGACATGAGAGGAAGAGGGAGATCGTACTGTCATACATTATCTCATTCTTCACATGGATGCTCCTTCTAACGAATTTGGTACCGATTTCATTAGTCGTATCGATGGGTCTGATTAAGGCTTTTCAGGCCTGGCATATGACTAAGGACATTAATATGACCAGCGAAGATCCTCATGGCAGCTGCGTGGTTCGAACCAGCGACCTTAACGAGGAACTGGGACAAGTGCAGTATGTCATGACGGATAAAACAGGCACCTTAACCGCAAATAACATGGAATTCAGAAAGTGCGCCATAAACCAAACTGTTTACGGCGAGGGACTCACTGAGATGCGAAAGAGAATACTGCAACAAAAGGGCTTGCTGCCCACAAGAGCTTCTGCTTGCCCGCCGACCGATATGAGTGCTACTGGTATGAGCGGGCCTGGCGTTCTTGGAATGACTCGAACAGTTGGCACTCACACTGGCGGCGGTGGAGCAATGAAACCCGTGGGAACGGCATGCGGGATGTTGCCTCCGTCAGCTGGCATGCCGGCGGATCCTCTCATGGCGAGGACTCACAGCCCGAATGGCATGTCTTTGAACCCTAACACCACGTTGTTAAAAGCACTCGATTTAAACCCGTTCAATTTAAATCCCGTCAACTCAATCCAGTCCACCGCGAATGGTTACTTGCCCACTGGAACTTACATTCCGGGGGAGTTTCGGGATCCTGCAAACGTGGCCCATTGCAACTGCTTCAGTCCAGCGCTGGAAGGACTGCTAACTCGGACTGCAAAAGGCTTGTCCCCGGAGATGAGGGAGTCAAGACGTGAAGCGGTCATGTTTTTTCTCAACCTCGCTGTGAACCACAGCGCACTTGTCGACGAGAATGACAGCTCTGTCTACATCGCTTCCTCTCCAGACGAGGAGGCGCTGATCTACGGGGCCTCCCGGTTCGGAATCAGCTTCGATGGACGGATGGCCGACGGCTTGCATGTGTCCTTCAACAATCGCAAGCACAAAGTCTACATTGAACACTTTTACCCCTTCGACTCTGTGCGCAGGAGAAGCACCATCATCGTTACCCTGGACTTCGAAGTCTTCCTGGAAGGCAAAAGGAGGCTGCCCCGGACGAGCCGGGCCTCCAGTCGGTCCCCAGAAAACCTCGACAAGTCCTCTTTTCAGTCAACGTCACAGAAGGCAGCGCAAGGGCTGGAAGCCGCAGAGGAGACAACGCGCAATGTAGCGCACGGTGTAGCACCCGGTGCAAGACATGGCCAAGTTAATGCTAGCGTCGGAACAGAATCTTTGTACTGTTCCATACCATGTAACGTTCCTGACCGGACTGGCGGCGCCCCCTTGAGTGGGCCCAACGTCAGTGTGGAGGCTGGCGCGGCAAATAGCAGTGTCCGTGTTGACCTTGATGGCGAGCTCAATAGCATTCTCTGTGAGCCTGACAACGCTCCGGATGAGCCTGACAACGCTCCGGATGAGCCTGACAACGCTCCGGATGGTGTTAAAGAGTTACCGTATGGTGTAACGATTTCATCTGACCCAGCCTGTTTGAGTAACCCGCCTTTGGAAGCTAGTTCGGTGGATGACGGAAGCCGGGTGCAGGATGGAAGCAGTCGTGGGGATGAGAGTGATGGGCGGCAGGAAGCTCCCGGGGATGGTCGTTCGGAGCGTGCTGGTCGTCACCGCGGTAGTAATGGCCGTTCGGAACGTGGTAGCAGCAAGAGCCCGACCCCTTGGAAATGGGAAGGTCGAGGTCGTCGCAGGTATGTATTTGTAAAGGGTGCCGATTCTAGTGTGTTCCCCTTGTGCAGGAAGGTGGCGACGGAGGTCGAAAATGTATTGTCGGAATTCGCCGAAGACTGTTTGCGAACTTTGGTGCTGGCTTACAAGGAGATAAATGAAGACACCTACCAGCAATGGAAACGTGGGTTGTTAGCGGCACAAAAAACGAACGATGATGCGGCTGTGTTGAATACATCATTATATCTTGAGCAGGACCTGGAGTACCAGGGAATCACAGGAATTGAGGACCTTCTGGCAGATGAGGTTCCGGAAACCGTGGAAAGTCTATTGAAGGCAGGCATCAAGATTTGGATGCTAACTGGCGACAAGTTCGAAACAGCCTTTAACATAGGATTGGGTACGAATTTGATTCGACAGAATAGTAAGCATTTAGTTCTGACTGAGCAAAGGCTGATGGGTAGAACGAATGAAGAGATCTATCAGGCATTCAATATGCTTCAACAAATACTCCGAAGCAGAGACGAACCGAACAGCGATATGGTCCGTAGTGGCGAACTCGATCCGTCCATGGCCAAGTGCCGCGTCACGTGTGACATGGGTCATAAGTCTAGGAGAACATCTGAGAAACGGCTCCCTGAACGCAGGCTGAGTGACAGCAATAACCTGCCGGGCAGCTCACCTTCGAGTGATCAAGCCAGAGTGGACCAGACAAAGGTTGACCAGACAAAGGTTCGGCGTCATCTCTCTGATGAACCTTTGCGCGAGCGACACGGACATACCAGCCATGTCGAGAGCCGTCAGCTTTCCAAACCTCGACATGGCTTTCAAAATACCTCGGCACTTGCTTCGCGACAGACCCTTGGAGATGTCTGTTCTGAAGTTTACTTCACAGACCACACCTCCTTAGGGAATAGATCCAGAGAAACCGCAGGAAACATCTCTGGGGAAACATCGATACAGCATCAAGTCTGCAACCGACGGACATCGATCAGAGAGGTTAGTCGGTCTATGTCGGACCTGCAAAGTCCTAGACATGAAAGGTATCAAGAAAATTCTAAGGCGGAAAAAGAACTAGATGATTTGCGCGAAGCAGAGTTGCGGGAAACAAACGGTTTACAGGTGAGAGTAGAGATAGCGGAGGATCGTGGACGTGTACCTCGCAGGTGGGTGGATGGCCTGATGAGCGATGAAGACGGTACAGTCAGAGAAGATGAGATCGGAGGCAAATCGTTCAGCCAAGAAGAGTTGGCCTCTAAGCTCACGGGAAATCCGGTGCATCATGCTGACTTGTTTGTTAACCCGAGCGACGAGTCTGCGACTACCAGTCAACATCAAACCATAATTTGGGACGGCGTTATCCTTCGGCGATGTTTTGAAGACGCTAGACTTCGACCATTTATTTACTCCTTATCTTCGCTATGCCATTCTGCCATCTTCTGCAGGACATCCCCTCAAGATAAAGGCGACGTGGTAAGACTCTGCCGGGAGTTTGAACCCAAGGCCACTTGCTTGGCTGTAGGAGACGGCGCCAACGACTGCAACATGCTTATGGCTGCAAACGTAGGTGTCGGAATTAAGGGGCGCGAGGGAATGCAAGCCTTTAATGTAAGCCCCGATGTAACCTGAAGACGTTTGTTCCATTGCCTTTGTTCCATTGTGGCACACGTGTGTACAAAATTGCGTGTAACACAGGTGTGTATTAATGACGTGTGTGCGTACCGATATAATTGTATTGTAGTCGTCGGATTATGGAATGACAGAGTTTAAACATTTGAAGACCTTACTGCTGGTTCATGGGCGGTGGAACTATCGTCGTTTAACGAAAATGGTGCTGCACACATTTTACAAGAACTTTGTTTTTTGTATGCCTACCTACTACTATGCTGCCTTCTCGTTGTTCAGTGGCCAGAAGACGTTTCCTGAGTCTACGTATCAGCTGTTCAATGTGGCGCTGACGCAGTTGCCCGTAATTTGTTACGGGATCTGGGACCAGGACGTATCTCGAGAACTGAGCATGACATTCCCTCAGCTGTACAAGACCGGGATTGAAGATGCGTTCATGCGATGGCGGTCGATCTTGGCTTGGTTCTTGACGGGGATATGGCATAGTGTTTGTGTCTTCTTTATTCCGGTTATTTCATTTAGCGGTCTAAATATCACAGACATCACGACTTACATGCCGAATGATTTCTTTACTGTATCGACAGTGATGTTCCTGCAAGTGATGCTGGTAGTGAATGGCAAGCTGTTGCTGGAGACGATGTGTCCGAACTACCTGACATTTGTAAGCATTGGAGTGTCCTTTCTGTTTCTAGCGCTACAGCTTTACTGCCTATCTATGTGGCCTGAATATGCACCGGCATCGCTAGGTCTTGTTGAGAAGTTGTTACGAACGCCAATGGCGTACCTGGTTTCTTTTGTGTGTTTAGTCGTAGCACTTTCGGTTGACATTGTGATTGCTGTGTTCGATCGAACATTTAAACCGGAGCTGCATCATTTAATGCAGTTCTTGATGAGGTTCGAGCAGGAACAAAGGTCAGCAAGGAAGGTCCTGATAGTCGAAGCCGTAAAACAGGGCGGACCACAATTACTTAAAGTAATGGGATATGACCATGACGCTACCATGTTCGGTGAAATACAGGATACTGCCCCAGCTCTCTCGCCGTACTCTCACAAAAACTCCGCGGGCCACGTACGAGGAACGCCCTCCGGCAACGACCCCGCTCACGGAACCGCTCCCGCACCCGGCCCGATCAAAACGGGGTACGAAAGCTCCATTCGATCTCGAAAACGACAACATATACCAGACGCTGTAGACCTCCAACAAGACGAAGAGATTTCGGTCGCTCTTCAATTACACGAGAAAGAAAAAGCCAAAGGCAACACCACCGCTGTCCTCCTTGAAGTACTGCAACTCAAACCGCTTATGGAACAGATTGTTGGCGGCTTCGCTTTCTCAAACTCCGACGCAGCCGTTCAACCACTAGCGTTCGGCCACAGTGACAACGACGAGTCCCCTATCTCCTCCGAAGAGTAGGCCCCACTACCTTCAACCCCCCCCCTCCTCCCCCCACCACTACCGAAACACATTTCCCAATTTTTCCACATGCCAATCCTGCAGGTCCGAATATGACTACGAAACCTCACAAGCTATTTCTCCCGCCAGCTTAGACTCCTCGGCCAGATACCATGAGGTGGAGCCGCACAGAGTTGAAGAACCGTTCGACCTTGCGCCATCGTCCCGCAACTCGCAATCCGACGATCCGCCTCCCGAACGGGCAACGCCGTCCCACGAAAAAATACAGTACCCACATCGACTCTCGAGCAACAGAACGGGCGATCCCGGTGAGAAGGGAGACTAGACATACAAACATCATGGCGACATTATACATGACGACCACTACACAATGGCGACTGTACCATGACCATTACTTGGATGACTATTGTGTGATGACGAGTTATCGACTAAGTGATGGGGTTGTCGGCTAGGTGGAATTATCCACCACTTGAAGGAGTTATCGGCTCAGTAGTTCTGTCAATTTGGTCAAGTCTTGAGGAGCGCACTGAGGCATACCCAGGTCCTGATGTGGATTAATGTTGCAGGCGAGCGTGACGTTAAAGATTAACTGCGGAGGTTTGTGCATGGGCTTCTCGCAATACGTATTCCTCAGCTGGAAGCCGTCGGGGCACTCGAATCGGACAGTACTAGTTCTGATGCATTGTTCCAGTTCTGCGTGGTAATGGCCGTCAGCCGGGCATTCGATGGTCGGTTTCTTGTAGGCCTTTTTAGAGCAGTTGCAGATGCCGAAGAGGTTTCTGATCGAGTAGCCTTCGGCCTCGTTACATGTGAGTTCGGCAGCCTGGAAGTCTAGATCAATACACTCCTCCCCTACAACGGTTTTGGAACAGTGTTGGACGGGTTTGCTATACTCTTTATGCTGGCATTCTCTGTGCTCCTTCTCGCTCACCTGCTGGTAGCCCGGGGGACATCGCAGCTCGCTTGGCTTGGACATCACCTTCAAACATGGGTCGGAGGTAGACCGCAGGTTAAGCTTGTTAAATCCGCTACAATCCGCGGCCAAGCTAAGCGTTAAGCACTCTCCGTTGTCCAGAACTGCCGTCGGATCCGCGCAGGATTCCACCAACGACTGCGTTGAAGTGATCACACACACGCCCAAACCCTGGGGCCCATACTCCAGAGTGCCCATTGGGCAGTACAGGTTCTTTGCCACAGACATCTCTCGAACGCATCCATTCACCCCGCGAGAAGTAGGCACGAACCCAACAGGGCACCGAATCTCGCAAGGAGCTGTAAGAGTGCTCTCGCACGTGTCGTCCACCATCACCATTCCATCGGGGCAAATCAACCGCGCCTTCACTGCCTGCTTGCATTCATTGTCTGCCAGGAAAAACCCAGACGGACATTGAAATTTAGGGCTCTGCCGATACACTCGGACACATCGCCCATTTTGATAAGAATATTCCGGAGCGCACTCAATGGCCTTAGGGTACTCCTTGACCAAATCTAATGCCTGTGCCACTAAAATTAGCACATAGCAATTTCCGCAAACAACCATGCACACGTGTGTGCTGCGCTGCCTAAAACTGCATTATTCATAAGGTAGGGATTTCCTCCCTCGTCCAAGATAGGGATTCCCTGCCCGAGCCCCCTGTCTTGATATTATCAGTCGGTGGCTCAGGTTAGGGCACTGTGGACTGCCAGGGTCACGAGAGACACAATTTGCGCGGCCAGGACGCTTACAATGATGTAGGGCCATCTTAGCGTATTTGCATGGTTGCATATCTCAGTAACGAAAGTACTCAGAGTTGTTAGACATCCACAAAATCCGCCTGTCACGGCGCTGAGCCAGGTAGACCTCAATGCCCAGGAAGCGTGGTCAAGACCTCCAAGGGGTTTTGTGCTTCCTTCTGGCAAACCGCTTTTAGCCACGAATGCAACGGAATATATCAGTGTGCCAGCGACGTTGGCCGCGAAGGTTCCCCAGGGTAGCTTGCCTGGCTTGTTGAGCAGTGTGCTTAAGCCGAGTCTGCTGAATGTTCCCAATATTCCGAGTGGAATGGCAGCCATGTATTGGGCCGGAGAGCAGAGCATGCAAATGAGTAAGGGGGCAAGTATCTCCACGGTACAAATGGCCCAAAAGGCCCATTGGGGTAACCGTGGTAAGAGGTTGACTGGGTACTCATCATCAAAGTGGTCAGGTGCCGAAGGTTTCTCGCGGTATTCTTTATCGTGAATCTCAGCACCGCCACGGCTTTCCGGAAGAGTACGCCATCTTTTGTTGTGCGGTGCACGCGAGGTCACCAGCTCAGACCCTGGAGCTGGTTCGTATGGGAGTGATTTTGGATGGTCGACTACGACCACCGGATGGTTGGTGCAAGATACCGAATAAGCGGACCGAGCCTGGGCAACGGGGTTGGAAGCTGGAGAATCGGGTAGACAATGAGAACTAGCAGGCGCCGGTGAAGACGGTGCCCTTAGTCTCATGATGCCTTGGACGGAGGTGCTGGTTACCAGGTTGTGTCCTGTGCTGTATTCGGGATGGGAAGAAATGACCAGAAACTCCTTATCCAGAAACTCCTTATCCAACATCTTATTTCCTTCCGGTTCGTATTGACTACCAAGGTGACTACCATGTTGCTCAGTGGTCGCCAGAACATCTAGATCATCTAAATACCCACTCAGTAACCTCTCTTCACTTTGCCTGAGTCTCTCTTCAACATGCGCTAGCCTTTCACGTTCTTGCTCTCGTCGCAATCTTTCTCTTATGTTCCGGACCTGCAGGAACTCCTGATATCTTGTTGATCGAAATGCGTATCGACCGGCAACGTAAGCACCGATCCCGATCCAAATGGAGAAAACCGTATCTGACACCGCAGCGTACAAACTACTCCTGCCAGATGTTTGATCTTCGAACCAGCGAGAGGCTATGCTTATCTGCCAACCTGAGAACGTGGTCAGACTACCACAGAATCCAGTGGTGACGCATACATAGGCCTCCGGATGCCTATCAAAAGACAAGACCCATAACCCCTATGAACAGAACCCAGTGACACACATTCTTACAAGCTATCCAAATGGTCTTTGTACGTTACTACCAACCCCATCACAAAGCAACCCAATCCATTCGGCCAGAACAACGTTGGTTCCTGGGTCACCAGCCGCAAGTAACATCCCAATACCGTAAATCCAACCAGGCCCACTACACAATCATGTTTCATAAAAAATCTCTACGGCCCACTTCACGGTTAGATTATCAAGCCCCCGCCAGACAACAATACACTTCTGGCTCTCATCACATATCTTCAAGCGAGTGGCCTCCCTCACGGCGAGAATTTCTCTTCCTCGTCATCAAGGCCGCACTCCTCAGGACCACAATATTCTTTTTCCCTTGTTCTATCTCGGTCGCCGCCGGCACAGACCGGGTTGCAGCAGGCGCTTCGGCCTCAGGTGACTCCAGCTTCAGCGCCTGCACCTTTAGCCACTCTGCTTTGATCGATTCCGCCTTCGTCGATTCCGCCTTCTTCGATTCCGCCTTCTTCGATTCCGCCTTCGTC